CACAAAAATGATTCTGCTGGCACGGCGAGAGCTGGCGAGCCTCAGGGAGTCTTGTTTCCCAAATCTAACTGTGTCGTGCAGAAGCAAAGGGCTTGTGTAAAACCCCTCAAGTCCACAGGGCAGGGGGGAGTGATGGAGCCATGGGGATGGGAAAGCCCTGTTCGTCCCCCAGGAAGGAGCACCCTGGCACACAGCAATGCTCTGGCGAGGCGCAGGGGCTCTGCCTGCAGTCCCAACCTAAACTTCTTTTCACCATCCCCCGGTTCTTGCACATCCCTCCCCATCAGGGGGTTCAAAGCCTCTTAGCAACATTTTCAGCATCAGCATCCCCCATTTTGCAACCGCTGGAGGAACTGGCCGTGCAGGTGGTAACTGCTGGGTACCTTTAGCCTTGCCTAAAAGTTAGAAGAGCGATGCGCGCCTTGACAGCCATGAGCAGCTCCTGTTAGTCAGCAGGAGGCTTTTATAAAGATATATAGCTGTCAATGGATTTTATGGTATGATAAAAATAGTCTGAAGCTGAAAATGGCTGGAGGGCCACTGGTTTTGACTGACAAAATGCACACAGTGCCATAAATCATTTCTAGGAGGCTAGGATCCCGGGTGGCACCTTACCTTCGAGTGCCTCTCCATTTACTAAGAATTACTTTTGCCACTGTAGTGGCCAGCTAACCCATTTGGGCTTTGCTGGCCTCATGCTGTTCAGAGAGCTGTGAGATGTTTTATAGGGCTAAAAATGACACTTGCTTGCAAATCGTTGAAATATGTCCCCCTGAGAGGCTGCGACGAGCCCCTCGTTAGCTGACTCATCGCCTTCACACGCCGGCTGTGCCAGGCGGCGCGGATGCTGCCGTGCAGAGGGCAACGCTGTGTCCAAGGCCACCCCTCAGAGGAACAAATCTTCTTTAAAGATTTTTTTCCACTCTCCGCTTGCATGAAGGGAGCTCGAAGGGTTTTTTGTTCTTTAAAGAGTTTAATTCCCCTTGGTTTATATTTTTGAGTGTTAGGAACTTCCAGCCTCCCTGATCGTGCTTTTCCCAGAGGACTCCCACACCAGCTGGAGAAGCCACTGTCCCGCGGCTGCAGAGGATGCGGCAATGCCGGATGCCGGGAGCATCAGCGTGCAGCTCCACCGCAGGAACCTTTGCTTTCCTGCCACCTCACACTTCACTTGCTCACCCATCAGGTGTTGTGAAGGGCTACCAGAAATACCAACGGACTCCATCCTCCACCAGTGCCCACCAGTGAAGATGCCGAGGATGACCTTTCTGAGGCTGCGGCAATGGCTCTGCACTGCTGGCTCGGAGAAAAACTCCCCTCCAGGGGTTAACAGCCTCTTCTCCCCTTGGCTGGCACACACCCTGTTTTTCGAGGAACAGTAGAGACTTTATAACTGTCTTGGCAGGAGCTTGGAGGCACATATGGCTTTTATTGCTTTTTCTTTTGTTTTTTTGGGGGTATTTATTTCTATTTGCTGATAAGAAGACAAAGTTTCCAGCAAGTGAGCTGCTTCCTCTGCCCGGCGGGAGGGCAGCCTGGTTGAACTGGTACAGCTCCGGCACGGAGCAAGGAGGAGAGGGGAGATGCCACTGTGGGAAAGAGGCTGTCTTGGCTGTGCATGGGAATTTTGGAGACTTTCTTGAGAGTTGACAAAACCTGCTGGTGCCAGGGTGCAAAGCAGAGCCTCCTAAATGAGCATGGAAATTCAAAGGGGAGGAGGATGAGGAGCACTGGGCAGGCTGTTGGCTTCAAGGTTAAGTGATTTGCTTGGGGTATGGGATTAAAAAAAAAAAGAGTTTTGGCAGAATTGGCAAGAGGCTGGGCAGCAGTGGGCAGAGGTGTATGGGTGATGCACAGCCCCACTGTCGTCCCCGGCACGCTTGGCACTTAATGCAGCGTCTGTCTGGGCAGCTGGGGATGAACGAGTACAATCCAGTTAGCAGGAGCTCCTCCAAAAGCTAATCCGTCTCACTGTCCCCTCACATTGCAGAGACATTAAAGTAAGAAATATAATCCATGACAATCAATCACCACTGCGTCCTGGCTTTCTCTCCTCTTTATGCGGTGGCATAATGACTTTTCCACCAGTTTCTGGCAAGATAATTGAAATGAAATGGAAAATATTTTCTTACTTGTCATAAAATTTGCTGCCGGTGAAATAAGAGTAACTTTAACTCTTCGTGGCGTAGCTCCCATCCCCTGTAATTGTCAGTTCGG